CATCAGGGCTCAACCTGCTATGTTGGTTACCTGGCATTTGCTCATTTAGAAAGGTGTGATGGAAAAGCTGGGCTGTAAGGATATTTCTGCAGAATAATAGGAATCTGTTTCCTATGAATTTATTTCACTGCAAATGAAGGTGACTCTGAGTGAGGCTGGCTGTGCTCAGGGTATGTGAGACTAAAACAGGAACAATCTACCTTGCAGGTCAAGGTTTCTGTTTGCAGTTAAGACAGTTAAGAATAAGTTCCTGTTCGTCCTGTGCAAGTTAAGGTTTCTGTTTGTAGTTAAATAAAACGTTCCTCTTTGTCCTGTGTGAATCCTTGCAAGTTAAGGTTTCCATTTGTAATTAAGAATAAGTTTCTGTTTCTTAGATCTGATGTAAACTGCACTAAGCTTGCGATCACATGATGTACATCCTTACCCTTACCCTTGTTCCTTCCCCTTCGTTTTATTTTTCTAACAATGTATGATGGCTAACTCTCTTGCCCTTATGAACACCGTATCTCTCCTATAAAAAGGACCTCAAGAGGCAGGCAGGGGCTGCTCTCTCAAATTCCAACTAAGGGGGAGGCCGCTGGCAGGCCAGTCCCGGATGCAGCCCAAATGACAGCTTGTTTTAATTGGGCAATCATGGATTTTATCTTTTCTCCTCGTTTAACAGGTAGTCACGGGATGAGAAGATACACATTCAGTCTAACTTCTGAAGATCCGGGCTGAGTGGCAGCAGTTGGTAAGTATGGCCGCTGGTGCCGTTTCATGCCCCTTTCTTTTACTAGGCTCCTAGAGGCGGCGACACTTGTCAAGGGTCATTTCTACTTTGCTGCACTGAACAGAAACAACAACTAAAAAAAGGAAAAGAAGCAGTCCAATCATCAAAGAAATACGTGAAACTGCCCACAAGTGAGCAGCGGTTAAACTCTTTTTGTATGCAGCTTTATTAACAGTGATGAGGTTACAAAATAACACCACACACAGTTTTCTTCGTTGTTCTTTATAGGAAACCAGAATGTTGTCAGCCGACAAGATTCCTGCCAAAATTTGCTGGATAAACAACAACAACAAACGTTTTTAGGAGTGTCCAAGATAAATATTTTTTGTCAAACTCCCTGAGAGGGAATGCTAAGTGGTATGCTGTAGGGGAAGTTGTTAATATTTCACATCCTTTCGTTCTAGTAATTGACAATGGAAAGTATTTGGTATAATCTTTTATTGACAGGAAAAGAATTCTTTTCATTGCTGTCCTGTGTCAAGAACACAGTCATCCGTGCTGGGGCAGGGGTCCAGCACTCACTCAGAGATTACAAAGGTCCATTCTGTTATAACTAAGGAAAATAAATACAATGAATTGATCTAAGTCTATTTACTTAGTCATTTACTTGAGTTCTGAAGACGCTTGGCCAGGATATTGGGGGTGGGAGCTGGGGAGATCTACCCTCTTTTTCCACCTAATTTCTATTTACATACATGATGTAAAACACACATGGTATCGTTATCACCCTGTCTTAAAGCAGAGGACCTTTCAGTAACTTCCTTATTACCTCAGCTATGATGCTTCCTCAAGTCCCCACATCCAGTCAGTCTAGAGAACTATGTTAAAGTGCCCGTCATGGCCTTCTATTTGTGACCACCTTTGCAACAGGAAGTGAAAAGAAAACGCACCCAGTGTACTGAAATTAATCGTGAGTTAGAGATCACAGCTTGGCCCGGGGGCCCTGAGAAAATGGTCACACTCTATTAAGACCTGGCTTCATGGAGATGTTCTTATCAGGTCTCTGGCCCATTCAGAAGAAGGCAGCTTGAGTTTGATTGTTTTGGCTGCTGGGTAACATGCTATTTTCTGATAAGTTGAGCATTTATTTAATCACAGAACTCAGGCATTAAAAGCAATCACAAACCATTTTTCTTTAAGAAAACTCAACAGAAGTACATGTTTGGGCCCTAACTCGGGGGTGTAACTGGATAGAGGTAAGCACAAACCACGATAAAATGAGGTCAAGTTTGCAACTGGAAAGTGGACTGTGTGTCCCAGGAGCAGCAACTTTGAGATGAATTAAAGACCCTGAGGGTGAAACAGAACATTTAGAGTCTATGTATGTCCGTGTCTTTAATGGCAGTGCAGGATATTCAGAGGTTCAAACGTTCACCAATCTTCATGTTCCATACTCTATCAACCGCAATGCACCCAGGGCCTGGTAAGCCCAGCTATTAATATTTTCCAAGTTTTCATATTAACAACATAGAAAAGTTAAATGATGATTACAATTTACCCAGTTGGACTAGGCCTGCAGTTTAGCTCTAGACAGCAAATGCCTAGGCTTTACAGCCTATTCTACCATTTGCAACAGATGAAGCCCCTCTACTTCCAGACTCTCTTCATGTTTTAAATCCTAAGATGTTACAATGCAGTGATTTTTACTTCATCTGGAGACCTAGGTCCTTGTCGCCACACACCTCTACGTTCTCAAAGTGAGGAACATCTATTAGTGTGCATAAATAAATTACATGTTTGTTCAATCATCTGTAACCCACAATGAAGCACCCCTTTCTCTCTCAAAATTAACAATGTACTGTAGGCTCTTCAGTTGCAGGGGTGTATGTATTTCGCCATGAAAAGATGCTATAGCCACCCTCACACAGGCTTGGCAAGTAGTGGCCAAAATGATGCATTGAAAATGGAGTTTATTTTACCAATGCTGCTGCATCGCTGGTAATTTAGGAGCTCAGCCAGTGATTAACTTGGTCCAAAAGCCATTTTCTCACAGTTTTGTTTTCCAGCCTGCGTAGTCATGGAGACAAAGGAGCAGGCGCCCTTAGATTTTCCCTGTACTTATGAAACTCCTCTTTCTTTCTGTATTTTATGCTAATGGTGTTTTACTTATTTCCAGTGTTTATAGTCTATTCCTGAGTGTTACCACTGAATACCCCAAACTGAACTTTTTATAAGGGTTGATGAAGGTTGTTTCAAAAACGTTTTATTAGAATCACTTTTCACAGGTGGAATAAAATGTAGCCATTCCTCAGTATCCTTGGGAGACGGGTACCAGGGCATGCCCTACCCCTTGCTAGGGTCCCATCTACAAAATGGCACAGTATTTGCGTATAACCTGTTCAGATCTTCTTGTATAATTTATATTGTTTCTAGGTCATTATAATATTAAATACAATGTAATTGCTATGCTAACGGTCGTGCTGTTTTGCTCAGGGAAGAAAAGAAAAAGGAAAAGCCATTCAGCATGTGTTTCCTACATATGCAGTTTTTTCAAATCTCTTCAGCTTGTGGCTGGCTGCACCTACAGATGTGTAGCCCCCAGATACGCAGAGATGACTGTGCTTTAGACATATCCATCACAGCTCCACACACAGGTGGCAGGAAGGGCCAGGATTAATGACAACTAAGGTAGAGTTGCAGGTACCTATTTATCCCTTTAAATTGTCTAGTTGTGCATAAGCCATAGTCGATAGGCACTTCCTTCCCTAAACAAATATACTAGAAAGAATAAACTGATAGGGTAAAAGGAAATATGCATCATTTACTACAATCCTTCCCTTCTCCCCCAGACTTGGCAGATAAGTCAAGGAAATGGCAGCGGGAAAATATACGTTGCCAGGCAGGGTGGCACACACCTCCAATCCCAGCATTCGGGAGGCAGGGACGAGAGGATCCCAGTTGGAGGTCAGCTTGGTCTACCCACTGAGTTCTAGGACAGTCAGAGCTACATAGGGACCCTGACTCAAAAAAAAAATACACTTTGATTTGCAAAGCAATTTGGAGTGATAGTAGTAAAAGTAAATCATAAAGAGCATATATTATGGGCTTAATATTTTAAGAATATTTTAAGTTAGATATTAGGAGAAACAAACCACATTCCTCAACAGGTGAACCCGTCCATCCATCCAGTTATTGCCAAATACAAGCATCCCAAATGTTTCCTTCATCATCGCGGTGTGAAAGAGAGGGCTAATAAAATTACTGCTATTGGCTATACGGCCAGAAAGGTAAGCCGAAGTTAACAACACTCGAGAACATAGTGTTATTTGGTGATTGTTCGGGCTCATGTTAGAAGCAATTTAACCATGTCAGTGTAGGGTAAAACTGTACCTGGTGGTATAGGTCTGTAATCCCAGCTACTGGGGAGGCTGAAGCAGGAGGGTTTTAAAGTCAAGGCTAACCTAGGTAACCTAGTAAAGCCCTACTTTAAAATAAATAACATAAAAACAGCGCTGGGAGTGGTAGCGCATGCCTTTAATCTCAGCACTCAGGAGGCTTAGGCAGGCTGATCTCTGGGAGTTTGAGGCTAGCCTGGTCTACCCAGTGAGTCTGTCTCAAAAAAATAGAATAAGTGTACGCCTTTAATCCCAGTACTCGGGAGGCAGAGTCAGGCGGATCTCTGTGAGTTCGAGGCCAGCCTGATCTACAAAGCAAGTTCCAGGAAAGGCGCAAAGCTACACAGAGAAACCCTGTCTCGAAAAACCAA